AATGGGATGCATATGCGTGGCACAACAAGCCATATTAACATGTATGGCAGAGGAGATTGGCAGAGATAGCCCAGTCCACGCTGTCTTGTTTATCAATATGCAGCTCCTCTCGGCATGCATAACAGCCTGGCGGCCCCCAGTGTGAGCCTGAGCAGCCAGCGCTGTCATTGTTTAACGCCTCCCTTGATTAGTTTACTCTCGCCTGATTAGAAATTAATTAAAATGATGACACGGATCCCAGCAGAGGAGAGGGAGGAGGCAGCAGAAGGGAAGGGACATGCCATGTGTTCAGAAGGGCTACAAGGTGAAAAAGAGTGCGTTTTGGTGGTGCCCATTGGGAAGGGGTGATGTTAAGTCAGGGGGCTTTTAGCAGGAGAGTAGTGCAGAAGGGAGGGACTTTGTGTGGAGTGCGTGGCAGGCATTTGGGTAAGTGTTTTGGGGCATAGGGGGGTAGTGAGGGGGGGAGTGGTACTCTGGCAGGGGACAAACACAGCTTAATGAGTGACTCTTGTCGCAATCAGGACATCATTTCCTCATGCATTCTAATGAGATGGATGCTGCAGAGGATATGGCTTTAATTTATTCAATATATTTTGTATATTCACCCTGTTTATTTAATAACAGAGAGCGTGCACATTAATCAACATCGCAGCCATCACATCACCGCAGATATTCTCTCCTCTAGCTGGGTCGTGTCACCACTCTCCAGGACAACATGGCTGGATGCTGCCGCTATCTGCCTCTGGGTTATTGCATCTGTATACATGCTGAGAGTTCCCTTGCAAATCAGAACAAAAGCTTGAGTATTACATAGAGGTGTGATACGATCAGAAATGAGCAAATATCACTGTTGTAAACATTTGAGTGTGCCACGCAGGCTTACATGTCACCCATGGATGAGCTTGTAATTCCCTGCACTAATAATGCCCCCCCTGAGTCCCGCCTCTGTTATCCTACCCAGGCTGTCTTGTGCTCTGCCTCCGCCCTCCGTCATTGTCTCTTGAAGGCCCAGTACTAGGGACACTTGTAATCCACTGCAAGATTTTAAACTTAATCCACCATAACATCCAACTTTTGATTCAGGAGTGAGGGGTGATTAGCCTTTGCCATAACCTTTGCTCTCTCTTCTTGACCTGAGGTGTTCCTTATGTTGTTATCGCAGGCTCGGAAGTAGAGATACTACACAGTTTGCCTGTTTGAATGTGTGCGGGACTAGGGTAAGCGGGTTTCCCATAGCAATGAAGGCCTGTGGTTCTCCTGGTAACCTAATTGGCATGCGCTTCCTGGCAGGTTGTATTGTGGCCTCTTCTAATCACTGTCCCCAGCCCTAACAAGAGCGACCTACAGTACTGCCGCTGCACTGAAGGAGCATGTCTTTTGTGGTTTTATTTCTTTTCCTGCTCTCGTCTGGCCTCATCCCCCTTGTTCAAACCGGGGGACTCTCTCAAGGCACCTGATTAAGGACTAAGGATTGTTTGCGAAGATGACTATATGTATTTTCTGGTCATTTTTTCTATTTTAAAAGCAGGGTTTTTACTCAAGCCGACTCCTGCCCAACTCAGTATGTAAACCCTAATTGGGAAATGCTTTAAATAATTTCTCATTAGTTCAAGTGTGGTAGTAATTGGCTGGGTAATCTGAGGATTAATTAGGAGCGATGTGTGTTCTTGAGTGTGTGTTTGCCTGTCTCCGTCTATGTGTCCAGTGTAGCAGTGCGTCAGGACTGGCCAGGCTCTGAATAGACCCCAGGTTCTACAGTCCGCTAATGGAATCCTACCCACTCAAGGAGGTCTGTGGAGGAGGGAGCCCAAGACAGAAGCAGCTTTGTTGGCCGAGTTGTCCTGAGGGTAGCCCCCCCTGCCCGCAGACCTCATTTGTATCACGGTGGGCATCCTCCCCCTCTTGTCTGACCTGCTTCTTATTTAACAGCTAACCTTGCCTCTACCTCGCCATCACCTCCACCCCTCCCCTCCTCCTCACGTCATGCATGCCGCTCTCATGTGCTTTCTCTGGCTAAATGACATGTTTTATTTTCTTTGACCCAATATGCTCCCAAGCCCGTCCCTGCTCTCCCAAGCCCCCATTTCTACCTCCAAGTATTCTTCTGGGCCTTTCTGCTCTTGAGCCACCCTCTTCTACTCCTCATCACATCTTCCTGTGGAGGAGAGGGTGAGCTAGTGTTGGCCTCTTGAGCATGTACTTCCACCTGGTCTAGCTTCTAATTACTGAATCTTTTTTTCACTAGAAATGGAAGAGAAAAAAGAAAATGAAAAGCAAGGAGAGGACACCCACTTGTTGATGGGAGCGTTTGTACAACACTTTAAAGTTTGCTTTCATACATCAGATGGATAACATTATTATTTTTATAAAAGATTTAATATTATATTAAGCTCTAACCATTATGAAAGGCTTCAATCTCCTAAATGAAGCCTTTTTTGTTTTCCATGCACCTTTATACATCGGGCATGTGTGTGTGCACATCCACCTCTTGCCTCTGTGTGACAGATGGCTGTCAAGGCTGTAGAAATTAGATGCAGGGAGCATGTAAACAAACTTACCAGGATCAATAAGAGAGACTAATTGGAGAATGACACAAACTATTCTTGCTAAAGACCCTCAGTCATTTTTAAGTCCTTTCATACACCAAGCTTTGAATGTACCAGTATTGAAAGATAAAATGTAGTTAGTGTTCAAAAGAGAAGCAGCAGAAATGTGAAATCATTGTCAGAAAGAAAAGTTTATGCACTTCATAGTATACAACATTTCCAACATTTGTTTCTGCTGTTTTTGCGTTTCACTTATTGTAACAGCTGGGGGCACAAGGATATGGGACATTTTGTCTTATAATTTGTTGGGGATCAGGAAATAATAATAATAAATCTAACATCAAGGTATGTTTCATCTTCTTAGTTTGCCATCATCTCCGCTCATGTCACAGTAGTAGTGCTGAGCCCTGTGTTGTGTTTATTTGACAAATGAGACACGCAGGTTTAGCTAATGATGCTTAAAGGTGCTTATCACAACCCTGCTAATCTGGTGTGTGAGATACATTTACACAGCTTGTAGATGTATTATTGCTGATCCTCCTTCTGTTGCTAACACAAAGTGAGCAAGTATGGCTTTAAAGTGTCCCACAATGATGTATGCTTATTTCACGTGGCTGGTCCTAGTGGCTGGCCCATTCCCTGACATTTACTGAGCTGGTACAAGGACATGCCCTTATTCTTCCCCTCCTCTTCCTCCCATTCCTCCCAGTTAATCAGACTGGTGTGAAAAGGAGGCTGATAAGCCCATTGTCTGGCTGACAATGTCTTGGTGATAGGCCCGTAGTGGCCTGCTGGATACTGAGCTGGCCCCGCTCCTCCTGCATCAACCTGTCCCATATTCTTGTGCCCCTAAACCTGGTGTCGTCACCCCTCTTTCCTTATTCACCCTGCTCAACAGTCTCTTACCCCTGCCTTGTCTGGCCCAATCCCCCCTGCAGCCCGCTGCAATCCAGGCCTGACCCGCTCCTCTTCCTCCACCCTTGCTTTTCTTTCCTCTTGTCCATTGAGAGGTGCAGAGCCACCAGAGGGAACTCATTAGTGCCCTGCTCCCAGGTTAATTGGCTAGCTCAAAGAAAAGCCCAGAGAAAGAAGAAATGAATGAGAAAAACACCCACTCTGTCCTGGGAGAAAGGGAAATCGACCTGTGTGTTTCTCACACTGGCAGCTCCTCTAAACAGTGATGCAGCTGCTGTCAGGCCAGATGTGCTCCCTCCTGATTAGTGCTGCAGTCCTGCTAACTCTGCATACCGAGAGCACAAGGCCACAGCCCCTATTGTTGCTTTTATCTACTGTAGAACTATGTAACAAATCTGTCGCGTGCCCCGTGTGACAGGTTCATATTTCTCTGAGAAAGGAGCAAAGGATAACATCAAAGTGAATTGAAAGTGTTATCTGCGAGTTATCAGGATGGGTCTATGCTGCATCTACACATGTCCAGGAACAACAGGAGCGCGCTTCAGGCTCTGGCCTCATGTTCTAAGAAACACAGGCAAATGACTCTTGAGGGGCTGCAGGCGAGTGGTGCTTCTGACAATGCTGGGAGTGTGTGAGTGCACTTTGGAGAGCTGTCCACGCTTTAATTAAGCATACAGCTCTCTGTCACCTTGGGCAACCAGCACAGGCCTCCTTGGAAAACCACTGTTGTAAGAAGTTACTATCAGGGTTTTCTATCATATTGATTTGGGATGTAAGATGGGAAAAGGTTTTTCTGTTTTAGCTTTTAACTTTTACATAGAGTGGAGTTAAAAGATTTTTCACATCACCATCATAATTATAAACCCTTTATTTACTTTTTTGTAAAACACCACTCTGTGTAAGCATTTTTTTTTATATTCTATGGTTTCTGGGTTGGATTTAGGTCTGGACTTTGGGCCAGTCTCCCACCTGAATTGTTTTAAACCATATGATGTTATGAGAAGTATTTATGTTATAAGGGGAATGACTGGTGGTAGGTAAACATTCACCCCAGTCCAACAGCTTTTCTTCCAAGACTGTCCTGAAGTTTGTTTTATCCACCCTCCCATCAACACCTTTCCCTGTCCCTGCTGAAGAAACACAGAACCACAACTACAGGCGATGTGGTAAAAATTAAACAAGAGTAGCTGTAATGCTAAGATTAGATTACACTCTGGTAGACTCTACTCCATAGTTAGATCAACATAGTCATCAGGAAACTTCTAAAGACAGTTGACAGCACTCAGAGAACTTTCCCTTTCACAAATGAACATAAAAAACTGCATGTGATATGATGTGAAATAGTCCGATGCTTTTTTTGCCACTGTATTGCATTAACGCTTCATCACTCAAATCTGGTTATCGGTTTAAGTTTGTCAATAAAGACAATTTGCATAGAGTTTAGTCAACTGTTAAACCCTATTGCAGTTAAATGCGTCTCTGAGCCATGACCTGATTCAGATGCATTGATATAACTGACCTTATTGCAGGCCCTCAGGCTTATGGTTCTGGAGGAATGTACTGAGGAGCTGACATGGTGCGTTTGTGGCTGTCTTTGCCGCTCGTTCTCCTCTGTGTCTTCAGCGAGATGATAACAGGATCAGTGGAAGTCTGGGCCAGAGCCAGCCAAGGGATCATATTCGAATGAGAGGGTTTTCGACGCTCTCCAGATTGGCTGCTGCACCTGACAGAGCGGGGGGATTAGCAGGAGGGTTAGCAACAGCGTTAGTCACAAGCTCATCTTTACCGTCTTCACTTTTTGCTCTGCCTCGGTTTGTTGGACATCACTTGGAATAACCCCCCGTAGTCTTCATGCGGACTTATACAGCGCACGCACACCAACCTCCCCCCTTGTCTTTTCACATCCGAGAGAGAGCATAAAGCGAGACAGGGGGGCACTGCATAGATTTGCTGCCATTGTGTGTCAATCATTCTGTGTCTGTATATGTGTGTGAGGGAGAGAGCGAGAGAGAGAGAGCCCTTGCCGCCAGTGATTAGCTCTGTCAATGCTGGGCTCTTGCTGCTTACCGAATAATAGTAAGGCCTTGAGAAGCAGAAGCTAAAGGAGGGAAGGTAGTCTGCTGATAGGCCTGCTGGCTCAGCGGTCAGTGTCTGTTTGTGTGTGTGCTTTTGTGTATTTCAGTGTTGGGGGTGATGTGAAACAGACTGTTTGCTCATCCTACTCAGTTTGGTCTGAATAGCATGTACTTTTACAGGGGGGGGGGGGGGTGCATGGGAAAAAAAAAGTGGGCTCCAACTTGTGCTCAGAGTCGTGCTAGAACTGGAGAGATCGTTGTCAGAGCTCTCATCGTCTCAGAAACACGGTGCTGGTCAGTCGGATGCGTCACCTCCTCTTCGCTTCCTCCCCGCATTCAAACCAAGTCCTCTGTGTTTTTTTTCCACTCTCGCAAATGTCGTAAGTGGGTGTGCAAGCGCATCGCCTTGAGCTGGAGATGAACATGAAATAAACACAAACTAGGCTAGTGACAGTTTTAAATCGGCTTTAGATCACTATGAAAGGTAACGGATTAGGATGCTTTTTCCAGTCCTGAGGAGATAGGACACAGTCTTGGAGGAGAGCCCACTCCTCTCAGCCCACTATGGGTTCTGTGTCTATCTCCTAATCTTCTAAAGCACTCGCTATTTGCATGTAGTCTGTCCTACATACTCAGAATATCCTGTCTATAAGCTGCTGCAGCACATCTTAACTTTTTTTTCCCTTCTCCATTTCCTCACAGAATCGTATAGGTTCATGATTTCATTTTGCAGCTATTTGTAATGCTTCTGTCTTGCTGTGGATGTATTGGTATGAGTTTGCAGCACAACACAAACATTTGACTCATTCCCGTATTAATTAACATTTAGCAGTTTATTTGTCTTTGTTGCAATGAGTTTGTTATTAAAGACTTTTCAACAAGGCTAAATAAAATAAATAGGCTTTATAATGTGACTTAAAAATGGCATCTTAGGAGATCTATTTTCCGGGGCCTATATGTTTATTATTGCGTCTTCCCTGCAGGCCAAGACAAAGCCATAAAGTTGCTGCTTCTTCTTCTCCCCCCCCCCTTTTTTTTTTTTTTTACAGGTGGATTTTGTGTTTCCCTCTTTTATTTTTCTCATTAATAAAACCAAAATCAAATTAGGAATCCTATTGAAATTGTTGCTGTTGTTATTCAGATGCAAGTTCTGGTCTTTTGTGTAAATCTAATTATTCTTCACTATCGGGAGGGTCCACGGGGTAATTAGTCAGTTCTCACCCAAGTCCTCCCTGCATCCTCAGATTCATATCACCATCACGCTGACATTTAAAAAAAAAAAAAAAAGCCAGCGTGTGTCGGTTTTTTTTTCTTCCCGTCTTAATAGGATAAATATCTTTTTCCGATCACATTGTGCTGCGCAGTTTATTTTAACCAAATTGATGACACAGTGCTTCTAAATAGCCCAACGTTTCCGAAAAAATGCACCTGTCTTTCAATTGTCGTATAGAGACTGCGAGACGGGGGTGGGGGTGGTGGTGGGGAGGCTGGGGGGAGGGTGGGGGGGGGAGCCTGACGCGGTTATTTGTGAAGGGGTCCTGTTGTGGAGACAAATGTTGCTTCTGCCATTCAGCGCAATAATAGCAGAGAGAGAGTTAGGAGCGGGCCACAAGGGAGACGCCGCGGCTCCAATCAAAGACGCGCTTTTGAAGCAGTTTAATGTCCTCAAACTATAAGGACAATATTGCGCATCAATATGACCGCGCAAAACGCTTTAAATACGCAACATACGCCCTGTAAATTCAGACGTCTTTTGATGCAGCACTTTGAGGCCTGTGTTTAAAAAAAAAAAAAACTGAAATATGGTTCTCAAGTTTTAAAGAAAAAATAAAATTGTATTCATAACTTATTTCAATAGTTTTTTTTCTCATTCTTATTCGCCTTTTCTGTAAAACGCAAAACATAAGTACCCTATTTTTACTCTCTCTCTCTTTAGCTCTGCGTATAGTCCCCGCGTTTCCTTATACCTCTTTAATTGCTCCAAATGACTCCAGCGCTGATTGTTTCACAGCATGACGCTCTTTGTCTGCGCGCATTTCTCTGATATTTTGTATTTCTTGTTTTTGCCCACGTGTGTCTGCGGCTGTATTCTCGAGAGCATTTCTACTGCAACATGGGCAGAGTGGAGTGTGGTTAATAGTGTCTGCAATTAGGCTGCATGGCTCTCCCCTGTTTGGGACTTCGATTTTGCTGTTGTTTTTGTTTGTTTTTTTTGCATCCCCAAATCACCTGTGTCGGCAGGTGCGATTTTTTCTTTTTGGGTGAAGGATCAATTTAGTTTCCCACTCCTTTTAATTCTTGCTTGACTGTTGCTTTTTGGTCATGCTTTAACCACCTGTAGACTGCGATATTTGTGCAATAGCTGCGGGGAGTGTAGGCTGTATATGAATGTATCAGTTTGACTTTTTGTCCAAATATTCCCTGTTAAGGAATATATATTGTAGTCAGAGAGGAGTTTCTTTCCAGTAGCCAGTCTCTGTTTTTGTTAATTATTCTATTATTGTGTGTTTACTATACTGATCTGCTGGAGGTACATCAGAATTTCACTGCCGGTAATGTGTATGTGCCAAACAATGATAAACTAAACTAAACTAGATATTAATGTCTTTCGTTGCATAAAAAAATGAAGCCAAATCACAAACAAGCAAAAAAATACACATACACACACACACACAGAAGGTCCTGGGTTTGAATCCCAATCGGAACAGGGCCTTCCTGTGTGGAGTTTGCATAGGTTTGCTCCGGGTGCTCTGGTTTCCCCTACTACTAAAAACATGCACAATAAACATGATCCTAATGAGTGATTGGATGGTGTTTGGTCAGACGCTTTGATGCACCAGTGTGTTCGGCGTCTCGCTTCCCTCATCACCTTTAATGGAAATATATCTGATCTGAACACTCAAAATGGGCTATATAAATAAACATTACTTATTAAATAAATAAAGATGACTACTGCAGTGCTAACCAGCAATTAGGATCTACCACAACATGTCAAACAAGTGTTTCAAACTTGCTGATATGTCTTGCCTTCACATTCCAGTTAAAATGTTTCCCACACTGCTTTTTCAGTTTGGATAATATGTGTGATTTTGTGACTTTTTCGAGAGAGAAAGAGAGTGTGTTGGGTTGGGGGGAGATGCAGGGTGTTTTCTAATCAAGTCACTGTCGTTTTTCTGTTGTCACCTGCTTCCAGACAGACAAAGTGGCATTTCCTGACTGTTCCCGTCCTCGGCTGAGTTATCTGACACCCCAAAATACGGCTATGGGAGGGAGCAGGGAGGCGAAGGCACCGCGGCTGTCTTATCCCGGTAAGGAGATGGCTTCTTATCAGATCAGGCTAGGAAGTTTATTTTATGGAGTAAATCTGGATAGAGGGGATAAAGAAATGACACATCCCTTGCGGACACAAAAGGAGGAGAAGATTAGTCCTCCAGCAGCATATATGGCTTTAGTTCAACCTGACAGGCAGCGGATTGAAAGGTCATGAAATAATAATCCCCCTATTCTTCTGCTCTAATCCTACGAGGGTGTGTTTCACTATGGGAACGTATATGGTCTGGTCTGTGCTCCGGGCTGGCTGTTCATTTTGTGTTGTCACTGTATTTAGATAGGCATCCAACGCTGATTTAAATTAATTAGACTAATTATGATTGAAGGGAGTTTTGCATGATGAGTTGCGGTGTTTGAGGCAGGCTAGGGGTTACTTTCTGTCAGATAGTCTTATGCATCAGAGAGGCAAAGGGAAAAGTGTGTTCTCACTGCAAACTGGACTTAATCAAACAACACATTCAGAAGGAGAAACTAGGCCATTTATTCTAGAGAGATGAGGCCTTGTGTGGGCATGTACTTGGAGTGTTGTGGTAGGTGTGAGAGAGGCGTCCACCCAATAGCCAGATAATCAAGCATCAAAAATGAGAGTGAGAATTTCAATGCAAACTAATGTGTTCCACACAATTACTCGATTAATAATTCTTATTTCATTACAGCACCATAGAGCCTGTGAAAGAAAGGGGCGCTAGCAGAGAGATTTTCTCAAATGGGAAGGAGACAAGAGAGTGAGGCGGGAGGGTGTGAGCACATCAGGCTAACAGATCTGCAGTGGCTGTATATTTCCCAATGTCTAGTTAAGGCTGCATGGCAGGGGTCAGGAAACTTAATTATAGCGTAAGTGGATAGAAACTGCAGAATGATAAAGAGAAACATGCAGACAGATTGGAATGGCAAGGACAGGTTTAATACTATCTCCCTCTGTCTGCCTTCCTCTCACAATACAAGTCAGTCCTGCAATCACACCAGAAACATCCCATACACTGCGCCCACAATAACACTAATGCATATCAAAATTACATACTCCACAAATGCAAGCCGCTTTGCATGGCCGCTATTACTTTCCAATTTTGTGGGTTCAAGAAAATCTGCACCCCATGTCGAGGTGATAACAGAGAACTTATTTCACGCTGTTTGTCGGACAGATAAGCGTTCACCTGTGGTTCAACAGATGCGCCCCGCTGAAACAAGACTTATCCAACAACATGCTGCTTTCCTCAGTGAACACACAGTCAAAACTTAGTTATTTTTATTTAAAATATATATTTTTTGCTTTTATGGTTTTGAACTTTTTGTCGTATAGCCTTCCATGGCATGATTTGGATTTCAAATCAGTGGAATTTAATGTGTGGCCTCTTATACAGTATCTGCTGAGGAGCTCTGCAATCTATTTGCACAGTGTAAGATTTGCATATCTGCAGCTCATGAAGCAAGGCTTTAATTTCCTCCTGCTGCAGATAAACATCACCTTGTTGGAGCAGATGGGCGGAGGCAGGATGAGGTCAATGAAGAAGAGGCAGGACAATGGCAATGGTTTCTCCACTGAATGGCTAAAAGTATTAAAATTGCACAATTTCCATATGGTGGACGTTTTATAATCGAATGTGATATAAGCAGCTGACAGAAACCAAGTCAATATATTTGTGAATTTGAACGTGGCTTAACTTTGGCTGCTCTTGTGAACAAAAAGACTGTTCTGAGCTGACGCTTGTTCTATCCTTTATATAATGTCTTGCTTAATGCCCATTTTCAATACAGTGAATATTCTTTAAAGAGCTATATTCTCCTTCCTGCTAATGTTGGCATATTGTACTAATCGAACAAAACCGGAGGTGCTACACTGAATGAATTAGTGTCAACTAAGCACCTTTTATACACCAATAATAGGCTCCATGGAAATGATTAATTAGCTTAGATACATTTAACTCAATCAGTGTCTGTAGAGGGATCCTCACGATGAGCGAACAGGGAACGAATGGCTTTAAAAGTGAACTTTCTTCAAGTGAATGAATGTGAGTCCCGCTAGCTCACAGTCTGCTATTAAAAAGGAAGACCGAGACGGAAAGAATAGTTTGTGAATAATAAGCAGTTCAGAGTTATGTAAACCTCTAGTTATTAGCCAGTAGAACCTGGTAATTACAGCCCTCTACAGGGGAATGCTGTGTTCCTGAGTGAGAGCAGTCCAGGCTTATGCAGAGGTTACACTTTGTCTTTTATCAACTATCTTCCATCATTATTTATTTATCAACACCCTTTAAGAATCTCTGTGCGGAGCCTATGTTAACACCACACACTTTGCCAATCAATTATTACTTGTGCAAATGCAAATATAGTTTCCCTGTGTAACAAGTTCCTCTAATTTTCAAAGACTGCACACAGTTGGATAAGTAGAAGAAAGCGTAAAAAGGCAAAAAAGGGAAAAATCTGCATCACAGCGTTAATTTAATCAGACTTGAGTAATACCTCTTCTTGTGCTCTCTCCCCAGGCAGCTCGCGGTTTCTGTGCTAGCTTGAGGACAAGATGAAGGGAGCTTTCAGCCTCTTAGAAGATGAGGGTTAAAGAACGCAGAGATTAAGGAAGTGAGAAAGCGACTGAAAAGAGGGCTGAGGATTATGTCATCTACAATTGATGTGCTCTCTTAATGTACCTTTAAACATGTGCCACTGGGGCCGCCTTTTATAATGTCTATTCACTCATAGGAGGAGGGGGCTACAGTATTAACCCAGACATACTCCACAACATATGTGTGCGTCTGTACTGGGTGTAGTTATCAGGGTTTATGTCACTTTGATATGTATACGGCATGTGAGAGACGAGCCATTCAAAGGAAGTCCATTTCGGATCGGCTTCCCATACACTGCTTTGCGTTGTACTGATCTCCATATCAAAAAACGAGATTCTTTATCGAATGATCATAGGGAC